GGAAGAGTCCTGTGCTGCCATCCTGGTCCAGGTTCAGATACTGATGCAGTTACTGGATTAGTTCCTGCTCCTGGTTCTGGTCCTGGTCTGCTGGACCGACAGTAAGGTCAGGTCAGATCAATAACCGTCTTGTTCCTTCATGCTGTTCTGTAACATCTGTCTTTTACTTCCATTGAGTCTTTTTCTTTAATCAGTGTGAGTCATTACACAGAGACAGTGTTGTCATAGTTACAGTTTGGCTCCCGCCGTGCTCTGATGTCGTTTTCTATTGGCTCTCAGAGGTGACGTGTCCCCCTTCTCCTCCAGGTGCTGCAGGTTGTCAGCAGGTGTCACAGCTGTCAATCAAAGAGACACATGACACAGTGTTAGAGAGGAATGATCCAGAGCAACAGTCAGAGCCTGAGTCAGCGTCTGGGACTTTGATAGGACAACATTTTATTTTGTATGTTGGATAAAGGATAAGACCTCTGACCAGACCTCCAATTCAAGAACCCTAATTCAAGACCTCTGATTCAACATCTCCAATTCAAGACCCTTAATTCAAGAACCCCAATTCAAGACCTCTGATTCAAGACTTCTGATTCAAGAACCTTAATTCAAGAACCCTAAATCAAGACCTCTTCAGACCCTCTGCTTCAGTCAGACCTTCTCACCCAGTTTCTGGTTCTCTGTAAATCTTCTTCTGCTCTGATCTACTTTTACCAGGTGACATCACCACCTGGCTCAGCCCTGATTGGCTCTGCAGTAAAGACTCGTGGTACATGTGGAGCCTGTGTGTGCAGGATCTCAGAGGTCCAGATGGTCTCTCAGTGGGAGCTGATCCCCCCCCCCTCCCGATGACCTGCTGCAGCACAGCTACACAAACAGCAGGGGTGCTGCTACTGTACATACACAAATACACCACGCACACTGAAGTCTGCAGGACCCTGGACCCCCCCACTCTTTAGTCCTCAGCAGCACAGGTCCAGGTTTTCTCTCCTCCCTGTGAACGCTCGGCGGCAGACTGTCGGGACACAATGGGACAGATGGACGAGCTCCAGTATATGAGGGAGTTGTTTTATTTTTTCAACACGATGAAAAACACAAACTCAAACGATGAGAGAGAAACCAGATCCATGAACTCTCTACCTGACCAGGTGAAGATGAACTGAGCCGCATTAACTAGAAAACTAACTATTAATTAGTGAGGTGATGACAGACACCAGCTCCCTCCTCTTCTCCTCCTTCTCTCTCTCTACAGAAAAAGAAAAACTAGTTTTCATGTGTGAAGACAAAGTGAACAAAACTAAAAGATCTGTGAATCAACCCATGACCTTTCTATGACCTTTCATAATCTGTCTTGTGATTTGTGCTGATTACAGACCTCGTCTTGAACCCTCCGTGAATCAGCTGTGTCAATCACCTGAGAGTAAAAATGAAAAGTTTAAAGATTTATCCGACACAGAAATAAAGTGTCAGTCTACAGATTCATACCACACGAGGTTCACGAGATCTGTGTTTGGAAAAAGTCCTTAAAGTCAGTTCCTGTGTGTTGGAATACAACGCACCGAAAACAC